TTTCTTTATATATTAAAAACATATGTGTAACCAAATTTATAAGGGTTGTTACTAAAAATAGATTTATTGTCTGGAAGTTTGATTTTCCTAGTACAAACCCCATATATGAATTTTTAAAAATATCCAGTAAACCGAATTTATATGAAAAATCCGTTAAATCCGTTAAACCAAGATAAAATTGTTATAGAAAAATTTGGTTTTGAAAATTTATCCAAATCCACTATACTCAAGGTCTGCTATACTGAGACTCACTGTGCACACTCTCTCTATAACAGCCTCCATTCTATAACGCACTGTAAATCAAAACCAAATTTTTACTATATAAAAACCTTACTCTATAATGGTTTTCTTAATTAAATTTCCTATAGTGTATAATGGCCAGCCTCTGGAAATTCTCTCATATGTTTATATGTTGTCTATAACGGCCGACGATCATGATCTGAGGTAATCATTACCAAATTAAGAAATTAATAATTTGAACGCACTTATTGTCACAGTACTCCCACTCATTCTATTTCTGAATTCAACAAATTTAACTAATGTAAGAGTTTACTTCTTACCACCAAACATAACAACATTTTTACAACAATGTGATGCTGGGTTAATTAACAGCTTCAAGGTGAACTACAAAAAACTTTTCTTGCAAAAAAAAATTAGTGATTATGAAGAAGAGAGAAATGGTCAAGAATATGGAAAAATTTCAATTAAAACATGCAATTAAATTTCCAGCAAAAGCTTGGAAAAAAGTTACCAGTAAAACTATAGTTAACTGCTGAAAAAAAAACTGGTATCTTACCTGATTATGATATTAATTCCAATGAAATTGAAAATATGTCATCAATTTTAAATTTATTGAATGTAAGAGAGCTCAATGATTTGCAAAATTTGATTGATGAACTTGCACTCCCTAATCCTATATCTGCATCTGAATACATTGAAATTGATGACTCTCATGTAAGTGATGAAATATTCTAAATGACATAGTTACAATAATCAATCCACCAGAGGAAAATGAAAGCCAGGAAGAAATAATCGAATAACTTCCACCTGTTACAAATAAAGAAGTCTTGTCAGTAGTGATGGGAATTTTTAACCCTACACTTAATAACTCCAAGTTATTAATAGTTAATAACCACTTATTAAATGTTGCACTCTGAGTGAGAGTTATTAATCCAAAAGATCCATTTTGTCAATCAATCCCAGTGTATAGAATTCAGCATG